TGCAGAGGTGATCTCAATTGGACGACATGGCTCTTGAGACTCCTTTCCAATTATGTGATTCTATGATTTATATAGTTCATCATTTCTGATAGATTAATTGTGATTATAACAAGAAGAAACATGTGCTTTTCTTGACTCTGGCCTTACTGTCCGACCATGAACAAGCCTCCTGGAACCTCAGTTTCCATTAATCCTTTTTCTGGCTACCTCAGAAGGTTGTTGTGAAAAATGAATTTTTTAAATTTTAAAGCATTATATAGATATGAGTTATCATTATTACTTAGAAAAACATTATTAGAAGAACATAATGAGCCAGATCATTCTGTGTAGGTAAACTACTTTGTCTGGCAAACACTCTGGGAAAAGCACAAACAACCTGAGCTCATACAATCACAGATCTAGAGTTGAAAGAGATCTTAGAGGTCATCTATTTCAACACCCCTCATTTAACAGATGAGGAAATTGAGGCATAGAGAGGTTAAGCAACTTGCCCAAGGTTACACAGATCAGTGGTAGGCATAAGATTTGAACCCATTCTTCTTGCTCCAAATCCAGTAATCTTCCCATGGTCCACAATGACTCTCATAATAACACCATCCAAACCAATTCGGGAGGCAAAATCACAGTAACTGAGAAAACAAGATTTTGTGTGTTCCACACACACACACAATCAGTAAAATAAAGGTTTACAGTCAAAGTTTTTGCCTTGAGATAAAACCAAGATCTCTTCAGATGCTACAATTGCTTTGATAAAGCAAATGTAAAGTATTTTTTTCCTTGACTATATATTGTTAGGATACCAAGTATAAAATGGCACCGAAATATTATATGTGTTAAATACAAATAAAAAATAAGTAATCTCCTATTGCGATTCTCCCTTTAACCAGAAATATAAAAACCAAAATCACAAAGTATACATGGTGAACTCCAATATGCAAAATGACATCCCACAAAATTTATAGCCAATCAGGATGTCAATCAAGCTTTCCAAAGCAATTGACAAGCTATGAGAAACCCTGGAAAACTCTCTCATTGGGTTGTCCCCAAATCGCATACTTTACATTGACTGCTCTGGTAAATTCATTCATATTAAGTCATGGCATCTTCTTTTTATTCAGCATGTTAAAGCTTCACCAGGACTGTTAATAATTCCAAAAATCAATGAGGTTGAGATATTGACCCTGCTCCTTTCAGAGGCAAAGGGAGATGCAGGGGTAAATGTGAACATCATCTTCTCCAGAATGAGTCACTACTCCTAGAGCTTTCTCAAGGAATTTAATTTAATTTCTATCTCGGAGCTTCGTCCAGGAATTTAATTTAAATTATGGAGGAACTGGCGATAAAAAGGAGTAAGGAGGGAATGTGCAGCAGAAAGGGCTAGAAAGTGAGCTTTCCCAGACTATCACAGGCACCCAGGAGGTTCCTAAGAGAGAGGGCCAAACACTGAGCCAGATGAGATAGCTCTGCTCTCATGCTCATCTATGACAATATCTCTATGCTGAGTTATCTCCAACTTTCTTACAGGAACAATATGTGAATAATCTTTCTCATCTTCTTTAACATAATCATAAAAGTTTGAGCTATTTTTAAAAATTCCAGCAGATCAATGATTGATTTCTCTGTTAGAGCAGTGTGTTTATGAAATGTAGCTTCTGGAAGTCGGTCTAGACTTCTTTTTAGGAAAAAACTAATGGAGAGTAAGCAGGGGACTGTTTCTCACTGGGGTCAAGGAGGGAAGGGAAAAGAAAGGCACAGAGAGACATTGAGAGAGAGAGAGAGAGAGAGAGAGAGAGAGAGAGAGAGAGAGAGAGAGAGAGCTTGAAAGAAGTGTTATTATAATTCCTCTAAAATCTTAGTATTATAATCATATTAAAATAAGAGAGGAAGGATGGCAAAGGACATGGAATGTTGGCCTTGGAAGCAGGATGACCTGACTTCAAACCCCACCTCAGACAAACAGTGGCCATAGGCAAGTCTCTTGACCTCTTTGTGTTCTAGATAATTCTCTGAGACTAGAAGTTGCAGAGAAGATGACGACCTAATATTAATGGCTAGTATTCACATAATGCTTCAGGTTTGCTAAGAGCTTTACATACATTATCTCATTAGATCCTCACAACAACCCAGAAAGATAGGTGCTATTATTATCCCCATTTTACAGATGAGGGAACTAAGGCCATGAGAGATTAAGTGGCTAGCTAAGGGTCACACGTCTAGTGAGCATGTCTGAGGTCACATCTGAATGCACCTCTTCCTGACTCCAGTTCCACTGTCTCATCCATCGAGTCACTAGCTGAAATCACTTGCTTTGGTAGAGAGAATTGCATCATCCAGGTGTTCCCTAAGCTGATAAAATCACAGGTCCAGACCCTATCCCTCTCAATGGGTAAATGAATAAAATGTATATTAAATATACCCATCCAAACCAACCCCGGAAAGCTATACAGCCACTCTTCACACCAGCTTCTCCTCCTTCCCTCTGCTATGCCAACATCCATGGGCCATGTATATTTAGGGCCATATTTTGACATCTTGACTGCATTGCTGTTTACAGAGTTAGCACTTCTGGATCAAAAATAATGAAGGCATGGGCTTAAGCAATGGCTCTAAAAGCATAACTAAAGGAGTAGCAGAGTTTTGTGTTTTTGCCCACCTGCAAAAGGAAACCATGAGATCTTTACAAATGTTTTTACACAGTGCTTCGTATACTTTTGATGTAGTGGTTAGAGAGGGAAAATAGCAGGCGACTTGATACTCAAGTCATCATAAGGGTTTCTATGGACCATTCATTAATTGGTGGGTGGGGAGCACTATGTCGTTTTGCTTTTTATTTTACCTGGGCTGGGTCCTTTCCTGGTTTTCTTGCTTTGAGCTAATTTTGAAGGGTGTGCCAGGACTATGCACAACACAGCTGTGGTAGCACAGATGTGCACTGTCTGAATATATCTTAGAAGAAAAGGGTGCACAATTTAGAAGGATTTGGTTTGCAGTGCTCTGTTAGTGCAATTATAAAAGTTACTCTGTCTTTAAAAATTCAAATACTGGGAAAATACAGTAGGTAATTTCCCAAATCCATAGAGCTAACTGAATTGTAGATTTAACTTAACTACTTACTGAAAATTGGCCAACCTCTCCATATGGTATTCCAAACATAGTTATAATGTGAGAAAACCATTAATGAAAAACATCCAAGCAGAAATTATTTTAATCCTTAACAGTGACAAACTTGAATATGAAAACTGAGATTTTTCTAGTTAGCCCTTTCCCATCATTATTAGCAATGTTGTAAAATTGATCATGTTTCTACCTGTATACAAAGTCTCATGTTTTCATATATAGTCATTAGTTATTTGATGAATATTGTGATTGTTATGAGCAAGAATAATAAATGCTACCTTAAATAACAATATTAAATTCATTAAGAAGGATTCTTCATTATTTAATAAACATGTCATCTAAGAAATACATGTTTACCCTGGAGTGTGCATAGCAATTATTTAATGATTCCTGCACTCCTGCAATGTTGAAGGAAACTCTTTGATGTTAAGTTTTCCTGGAAGAATGAAGATTGGACAATATAATGTGTCCTCTCTCTTTATACGGCAATATTAGCATTACCATGTTTGGACTTCAAATTTGATTCTAAGATCAAACATCATTAGAAAATGACTACATATCTATGTGTATATGTTTATGTATTTATATACACACATATGTCATATAAAAATGACCACATATACAAATGTACACGTACCTGTTGTTGTTCGTCCTTCGTTCTTGAAGAGGAAGGACCATGACATTAGGAAGATTGCCATGACTTACAAATGAACTGGATTTAAGGAGGGAGGGCTATGCAAAACCACCAGCATCACTCTGTTCTCCAGAGCCATATGGATCCAGTGGCCAGATACAGATCAGGATGACTGGAGAAGACCTTGGATGCAGTGGGAGATCTTAGCCTTTTTAAGTTAAGATCTTTCCCAGGTCTCAGTTTGACTGAGGAAACACCCATTCAGTGATACACATGTACATGTGTGTGCATATGTGTGTGTGCGTAAATACATCTTTAATCCAGGACAATATATATTATTTTTAGCTGTAAGGACAATGGTCCAAAAGGTTCCTTTAAGGACAGCATAAAATTAGACTTCTGTGTGGAATAAATTGAGGATCTGCTGAAGAGATCTGTGCCATAATAGTGCACTCTATCTAATGTTGATATAGAAGCAGCAAGAGGAAGTAGGAAAATTCACCAAACTTAGAATCATCAGACCTAGGTTTAGGCTCCAGCTATATAGATGATTAGTTGTGACCTGGGTTCAAATCTTGCTTCTAACATTCACTGTCTGTATACCTCTCTAGGCCTCAATTTCTCTGTCTGTAAAAGAAGGATAATAGGAGGGATGGATGATAATGTAAACATGATTAAACAATATAATGAAAGATGAGGTGCCACTTAGGAGTAAGAGTACCAGAATGCAAATCAGGAGACCAGGGCTTTAGATGCCTCTCTACCACCTAATAGCTTTGTGACCCTGGGCAAGCCACCTGAGACTCAGTTTCCTCATCTATAAAGTGGAGGTTTTTAAAAAAGTAATTATTCTACCTACCTCCTAGGATTGTTGTGAGGACAGTACTTTGCAAACTACGTTATGATTTGTCCATTAATTGGGAAATCTATGAAAAATTGTAAATAATAAATTCTCACGTTTACGAAAAAATATGATTAAAGGAGAGAAAAAAACAGCAAAAACCTAGAAAGAAGGAAAGTCGCTAAGCTCATTTTTCCTCAGGCATAGGTTCTGGAACAATGAAACAGAGCACAGACAAAGACAGTTGTCAATACATGACATTTAGAACACTAAGTTGCACTCATTATAGGGCTTGGGAATTTTAAAACATTCTTTATCTCCTTCCAAAGCTATGATGTTGCTCTACTGGTGCCTTTTGGGAAAACATTGTCTAAATATATACAACAAAAAGGAACTCTAATCACAAACCCTTGGGTCCATCTTCCTTCGAGGCTGGAGGTTTTTTGATAAGATCTCGGATGCTGCAGTCCGTCCCTGCCCAGGTGTTATTACAAATGCAGGTGACTTCATTACTACACACCTATGTGAGAGAAAACATGAACAAAGAGTGTTTTCATCATGGTTTTCTGGTGGTTTCTTTTGTTGCCTAATTGCTCAGTCACTCTGGAAAAAAACTTTACTCGTGATAAAGTCACAAGACTCTTGCAGGACGCTCCCCCTCCTCCCTGAATTCTGTAGACTAAGTCTGACATTAAAATTTTACTAGTAATCCAGAACAAGGAAACCCTTCCTCCACTCTATTCCACTTCAACACACACACACACACACACACACACACACACACACACACACACAGAGCAGGGTATGAGATACTCTTATTACACTACTGATATAAAACAGGGGATCTTAATCATTAATCATCAGCTACTAGCTGTGTGTGGTCCTGGGCAAGTCATTTAACCCTATCTGCCTCAGTTTCCTCATCTGTAAAATGAGGTGGAGAAGGAAATGGCAAACATTCTAGTATCTTTGCCAAGAAAACCCCATATGGAGTCATGAAGAGCCAGACAGGACTGGAAATGACTGAACAACAAAATCTTTAAATAAAAACCTAGCCTTGCTGCCACTAATCTCACATTTCCAACCAGACAGAGGTTAAATAGTGAAATTTTAAGCTCTTCTTTACCCTGCTTCTGTTCCTAAGTTGCACAACTCTTAACCAAGCTGTAAAATAATTTCAAGCTCTTTCAAACTATTTAAAACTTCCTTAAGTATTCCCCAAGGTCCTGAACATTCATTACGTCTGGCAAAAATGATGTGTCAAAAATATATTGTGGAATTTTTTTGTGGTTTGAAAAATGAAGATAACACTCAATAACTCTGTTGTTAAAACAATGTGGGGAATCTCTGTGCTGGTGCAGATGATCCCTGTGCATGCATGCCTCCTCATTCTGTCTGATGTGACCCTCATCCGTGTGTTTCCGTACATCCTCCACAGAGGACCCACCCACGATGGGAGATTGACTTTTTATGGTTAATGAGCTTCATTCCCTCCTCGAGGACATCAACTTGCTGGTTACTGACAGAAACCACACACTACAACTACTAATAATAGCTAAAGTCATGTTGGTGCCTGGTTTGTAGCACTCTCTGCCGTTCCACTACCTAAGGAAGCTGGGAAGTGGGGAAAGGTGAAAGGGACTGGTGCACAGGATTGACAGCTGCTTGGTATTTTGATCTGTTTAATGGGTCACCATAGCCAAACACTTCACCAACAGACAGACTTCCCAACTCTCTGCTCTTAGCTAGGCTGGTCCTTGGAGAACACACATGGACAAATCACTTGTCATCTCTAGGCCTCTGTTTCCTTAGCTATAAAATGACAAGATTGAATTCAATAAGCTTTCTATGGTCCCTTCCAGCTCTAAATATATAACCCAAAGATCCCTTAGCAGACCACTTTTTGAAATATTACTTTACTTTTAGCAATTGGGGTTAAGTGACTTGCCCAGGGTCACCCAGCTAGTAAGTGTCAAGTATTTGGTCTGAGGCCGCATTTGAACTCAGGTCCTCCTGACTTCAGCGCCGATGCTCTATCCACTGCGCCACCTAGCTGCCCCCATTACTTTCAATATGTTATCTCTCAACACAAAAGCTTTCAAAGACTCCTTATTTCTAATTGTGACCATTATTAACTTCTCAGCCTTAGCGTGAAGATTCTTTATGATCTGGACATTTGTAGTCCATCTTATTTCCCACAAGTTCACCAACTTCGCACCTTCTTCTGCAATTATTTGACTCTCCCAAATACATTAATGATCTTATTTCTGTGTTAATGGTACATATTCCCTTGCTTGCAACCCTGCTCCTCCTCCAGTCCACCTCTTCCTATCCCAAACATACCCACCTATCCCACAAGGCAGCTGGTGGTGATACAGCACTGGACCTGGAGCCAAGAAGACCTGAGTTCAAATCCAGCCTCAGACTTTTAGTACTCTGTGACCTTGTACAAGTCACTTCACCTTTGTCTCCCTTAGTTTCCTCAGCTGCAAAATGGGAATAATATAATAGCTCTTACCTCCCATGGTTCAAAAGTGCTTGTAAAGCACTTGGCACAGTGCCTGGCACATAGTAGGTACTTAATAAATGCTTCTTTCCTTCCTTCCCGGTAAAGTCCCACCTCTTCCACAAAGCCTTCTCTGAACACTCCATTTCTCACTTATCATACCCCTCTCCTCACTCTATTCCTACAATCCTTAAAAGTCTCTATTATATACTTTAGTACCTGATAATATATTTACCATTCACTGATTATTAGAGGTGGGTAGGTAGCATAGTGGTTAGAGCATTGGACATGGACTTACAGAGACTTGAGTTCAAATCTTGTCTCAGATACTATCTATGTGACCTGAGCAAGTCACTTAACTCTGTTTCTTCATCTATAAAGTGAGGATTTTACCTCCCTCTCAGGGGTGTCATAAGGATAAAATGAGATAATATTGGTAAAGTGCTTTATGAACCTTAAAGGACCACACAAACACTTGCTATTATCTTTCCTTGTCTCCTCAACAAGACTATAAGATTCTTGTAGGCAGGCACTCAAGGCTATATAGATCTTCCACATATCCCTTGACACTATGCATTGGGCTATGTACCTGGTAGATGTTTGCCAGATGTTTGTTGACTGACTGGCAATGAATATCTGTTACACAGGTCTGAAAGACGCCTTCTGAGATCAGACTATTCAGCATAGTTTGGCTGTTCTAATTTCTAAATTCCTGGCATTATATCGAAGTGGGATAAAATTCAGAAAAAATAAACAGGCCTCTGCAAGGCTTTGAAGAACACTAATCATTGGGAGTAGGGATCAGTGTAATATTTCTTGAAGCCTTTATCTCTCTACATATGAACTGTATAGATAGAAGGCTTACTAAAGAGGATATAAGCTTCTTAGTATAAATGGATTTCTTAATCTTAAAAGTTGAAACAAACTGATTAGGATTAATGCCAGTGTAGGGTAAATGGGAAAAAGATATCACAAACTACATCAAAATCTCTCTGTCCCCCTTTTGTCCGCAGACTTAGAGCCAATAACAGATTCAAGAGAGAACATCTAGTTCCTCGGAGTTTGGAGCTCTCTTAATCTATCACCTGAGGTCTCCACTCAATAGCCTCCCTCCCCCCACCCCAACATATCTGCTTTGAGGGGATCTTTTCTTTCTTTTTTTTAAATTTTAATTTAATTTTTTTTATTTTTAGGCAATTGGGGTTAAGTGACTTGCCCAGGGTCACACAGCTAATAAGTGTCAAGTGTTTGGTCTGAGGCTGGATTTGAACTCAGGTCCTCCTGACATCAGAGCCGGTGCTCATCCACTGTGCCACCTAGCTGCCCTGGACCTTTTCTTTTTCCCTTTGCCATCACTTTAGAGTCTTCTTCCCAGTTTCATGACATGACTCTCATTTTCCCTTCCTGAAGCCTGAATGCTTCACCAGACTTTCCTTTTCCCCCACACCAAACTAGGCAAGCGTCTACTTTTTCTTTTAGATATACAACTTCAGTGTAAGTGTCTGTGGATTTCCCAAGTACTCGGTCTTATGGATTTTTAAAAAGGCGGCTGTTCGGGTAGTGTGAAAGAGCAGTAAGCCCCCATGGAATTTAGGAGCCCACTAAGTACTTGGGCAAATGAAATTACTGTCACTTAGCTTTGGAGAGACTAAGTATTCTCATCGATAAAATAAGAGCATTGAATGAGACGACCTCTCAAGTCCCTTCCAACTTTAATTGGAAGTGGCAAAGTGGATTGAGTGCTAGGTCCAGAGTCAGGAAGACCTAAGTTCAAATCCAGCCTCAGATGCTGACTAAAACTGTGTGATGTGGGCAAGTCACTTATGCTTTCCTTAGTTTCTACAACTGTAAAACAGGGATAATAATAATAGTACCTATTTCCCAGAGTTGTTATGAAGATCAAATGAGATAATATTTGTGAAGCACTTAGCATTGTGCCCCACACATAGTAGGTGCTTAATAAATGCTTGTTTCTTTCCTTTTCTTAGTTGATGGCTTCCTGCTTTTCAGCCTGTGTTTTTTAAAGTACAAACACACACGAAGTGCCAGTACTGATACTAGCAACCGACCTGGTGCCTATTATTCAAGCCTTTTTTGTTGAATGAATACTGAAGGATGTGAGAGGAATCACTGACATGGCTTAAACCTTACTTTGAAAGAGTAAATAGCTTTAATTCAATTTAACAAATATTTACCAAGGACTGATTTTGTGGAGGACGGTGTGCTGGCCACACCAATCCAGTGGGAAGTTCTTTGAGGGACCTTACTAACTTCCTTCTATCTCATTAGTTGCTCTAACTTTTTCCAAAAGAAAATGACAAATATTATTGCATAAATTTAGCAACACAACACACGGTGTGGCAAAGGAGCTGGACTCAGAATCATGAGACCTGAGTTTGAACCTCTCCCAATATAGGTACTATGTGATCATGAGTAAGTCACTTAACCTCTCAACCTTAGTTTCCTTATCTGCAAAATGGGCATGATAATAACAAATAAATAATTCATAAACTACTAGCATTTTTAGAACATTATAAAGTTTGCAAAATACTTTATATATGTTATATCTTTTGATCCTCACACAAACCTGTGAGGTAAGTGGTATTATTTTCATTCCCATTTTATAAATGAGGAAACTGAGGCTAGGACAAAGTACCCAGGATACATTGCTATTAGGTAGCTGAGAAAGGTTTCAAATTCTGATCTTCCTATTCTCTAGTGTCTGGGCCACCTAGCTGCCTTGTTACACATACAGTACCAACCTCAGAGGGAAGCTACCAAAAAAAAAAAGTGCTTTGCAAGCCTTGAAGCACTATGCACATTCTAGTTGTGATGATTCAGTTTGCCAGAAGAAGAATGGTTTTGACAAGAACATAATTAATAAGAAGTATTCATGGAAAGGTTGCTAGATTCAGAGTCAGAGGAGCTAGGTTCAAAACCTAATGGTTAACTTACTATATGTGTGACCTTGGGTAAGTCTCCTATCTGCTCACTGCCTAGTTTCCTTACAGGTCAAATGAAGGGCTCAGATGGAGCTTAAAGTCCCTTCCAGCTTTAAATCAATGCTCCTATGAGCCTGTGGTCACAGTAACAGTAGGTTATAGTATATGTGTATCTGTGTGTGGGGGGGGGGGTGCTCAAGTGTGTGTGTGTACGCTGTTCCTCTTAGACTGTAACTGTCTGTTCTTTATCAGGCATCAGTTTCTTGATATCAATAAATAATGGGTAAAATGCAGTAGGCAGCATGATCACACAGAGAACTGCTAAAAATGAAAATTTAATCCAATAAAACTTTTACAAAATACATAGAGCCAAAGAGGGCTTGGCTCAGCCTCTTGTTACCTCCTTACTTACCCCATGGTTTGAACAAACTTTGCCATTGGAATCCAGGGGGCAGCTGCTCATGTTTAGGGACTGAATCTGTAGGCACTTTCTATCAAGACACATCATGGATGGGCCACATGGAGTTCCATCTTCCACATACCCTACATCAGTATCATCATCTAAAACAACATGGGCACCACTGGGGAAAGAAGACAAACGTGTACAACCATTAGCTGTGTGACCCTCGACAAGGCACTTCACCCTATTTGCCTCAGTTTCTTCATCTGTAAAATGAGTTGGAGAAGAAGAGGGCAACCCACTCTAGGATCTTTGCATCAAGCCTAGAGGTTTCAAAGACAAAAATGAAGAAGACGGAAGAAAAATCCAAATCAAGCAAGTAAAGATTTATTAAGCACCTACTATGTGTAGTTTACTGTCTTAGTCTCTAAGGTTACATCACTAACATGAAAAGTGACAATTATGTGGGACTATAAGTTATGTAGGCAAAAAACTCTAAATTAGAATGTGATAAGTGAACAAAAGATATTAAACCAGAGAGATTAGAGAGATTGAGGACATATTAGGTTTAGGGCTGGAGTCAGAAAAGGCTTTGTGGAGGAGGTAGCACCTGTACTGAATGAAGAAGAAGCAGCAGAAGCAGAAGGAGAAGCAGAAGGAGAAGCAGAAGGAGGAGAAAGAAGAAGAAGAAGAAGAAGAAGAAGAAGAAGAAGAAGAAGAAGAAGAAGAAGAAGAAGAAGAAGAAGAAGAAGAAGAAGAAGAAGAGAGGAGGAGGAGAGGAGGAGGAGGAAAGGAGGGGAGGAGGAGGAGAGGAGGAGGGGAGGAGAGGGGAGGAGGAGGAAGAGGAGGAGGAGGAGGAGGAGGAGAAGAGGAGGAGGAAAGGAGGAGGAGAGGAGGAGGAGGAGGAGGAGGAGGAGAAGAGGAGGAGGAGAAGAAGAGGAGGAGGAGAAGAAGAGGAGGAGAGGAGAGGAGGAGAAGAAGAGGAGGAGGAGGAGAGAGAAGAGAGAAGATTTCCAAGCACTGGGTCAACCTGCACATGTGCACAAAGATAGAAAGTGGCAGGCCAAGATTACACAACAGGTCACCAAAGGAGACGTCACCTGTGGCAAGAAGGATTGCCACCCTGTCCTCTGAAATCAGAAGGAAAAAAGAAGAAACAAAGGAGATATAGAAAGTCTTAAAGGAGTAGAGGAAGGCAATTAAGAAAGTTAATATCAGATGGCCTCCATCTCAGAAAAGTAATTAGTGAAGCCATCTGTTTTCAAAAGCCTAACCCTCCCTCAAAGGATGGTGATTTGCCTGCATGACAGATAGTCAAATGAATGTGTTAGAGTTCCCATAGGCAAATGCAGAAGGGCAGCCCCAAAACGTTTTAAGCGATGGCAGTATGGTTGGAATGAGCATGCAGCTTCCAAGGGTGGCTACTAAGCAGTTCGTCTGGCACATAGTAGGTACTTAATAAAGGCTTGTTGATTTAATGATTTAAAGGGGACAACATGTATCTGAATAGAGGAGGTCCAGTATATCTATTACAGAATCTCATGACCTTTGCTCAGATGAACTGGATTTTATACCTCCTACTCACAGATGTTTAAACACCAAAAGCAGTCATCAGTAACACTTTATCAATATTTTCCAGATGTAACTATTTATGAATCACATATATCCCATGACTGAAACAACTTAACAGCAACAATAAAATCTCACACTGGAGAAAACAGTGCGTGGCAAACTACTTTTTTCAAATTTTTAAACTCACGGCTCCAAATCATAACAAGTTCTAATCAGACGAATTTGGATCATGTGACAAAGCACTGCCACGATATTAGACATTGAATGGCACACTGTCCTGCACACATCTGGCAACACAATAAATATTTGTTGAATGAATGAATGGTGATCTAGAAAGAATTAGACACGTTAATCATTAAATGGGCATCTAGGAGGTGCAGTGGATAAAGCACCACGCCTGGAGTCAGGAAGACCTGAGTTCAAATCCAGTTTCAGACACTTACTGGCTACGTCATGCTGGGCAAGTCACTTAACCCTGTTTGCCTCAGTTTCCTCACCTGTAAAATGAGCTGGAGAAAGAAATGGCGAATCACTCTAGTAGCTTTGCCAAGAAAACCCCAAAGGGGTCATCAAGAGCTGGGCGTGACTGAAACGACTGAACAGCGACAACAAATCTTTACGCACACTGTTAGGGATTTTCAAAAGGAAAGCAATGACAAAATAGGAATAAAATGCATTATTTGAAGCTGTCTTCCAGTTTTTCCTGGTATTCATTTGCCTCTGGTTTTGTCTCTTTAAGTTTCACTTCCTGAATGACTGAGCTTTTCAGTATGCAATACATTACCTGCAGTCAATCACTCGGCCTTGGTGGTAAAAGGAGGTTGGGATGATTTCTCCCTGAAGTTGGCCAATTCGTGGAACTCGTGTAAGATTAGTGCAGAGCAAAAAGCCACAAAACACATCACTGTAAACATAAAAGGGGGGAGGGATTACAAGCATTCCAACCTCTAAAGTTTTTATTTCTTTCTGAATCATAATTTCACCCATTCCTTTGATTCAGCTTAAGAAATGGCTTGAGAGAAATAATTTGTTGGTGGAGTGAAACGTTGCTGATCCTAAGACCCATTAGTGTTAGTGAGATGCACATTATTAAGCTGCCAAGGGTGGGAAGTCATCCTTAAGCTAGCTGCTGTCTGGTTCTGAGTCACCCATAAGCTAGCTGTAGGAAACTGTCAATGACATAAACAATGTGCTCTAGTCATCTCTTCATATTCCACCGGATGTTTTCCTGTAGGCTCCTCCATCATGCCCCTAGGATCCTCATCATCCTGGAAGATCATATCAGTCCTGGTACGCACACTTCATCAGCGCCTGCTACCCTTGGGGCTCCTCTGATTGGAGGAAGGAGCCTGTCATTTTTTTCATTTCCCATGTGGATGAACGCTTATGACGCTGATGTGAAAACATCTCAGAAGAACTGGGCAGGTTACTTGACCTTTTGCTTGCTTCTATGAACATTGTGAATATCACACATTTCTTTCTAAATTATTTGAAAGTATGCAAATGGATTTGGTATGATACACCATTGTACTGGAGAAATTAATATATTACCTTAGTAATGTACCTGAACTAAATGATTGAAAGTTCCAGGGGTGCATAGAAACCAACATAATTTGTATGACATTTTGAAATGAAATAAATATTTTGGACTACTCTATCATGTGACCACACCAGGTACTCTTTAGCACAGTGCCTGACACACAGTGAATGCTTAATAAATGTTTACTGACTGACCAACAACAAAAAATTATCTGTCTTTATGCAGGCCATGTTAGGTGAAGACATGGGATTATGAACTTGATAGATAAAACTTATTATAAATTTCTTCACTACGAAACTTCAGGTAGCTAGGTGGCTTAGTGGATAGAGTGCTGGCCCTGGAGTCAGGAAAACCTGAGTTCAAACCTGGCCTCAGACACTTCCTAACTGTGTGACCCTTGGCAAGTCACTTCACCCTGTTTGCCTCGGTTTCCTCATCTGTAAAATGAGGTAGAGAAGAAAATGGCAAACCACTCCAGTATCTTTGCCAAGGAAACCCCCCTACTGGGATCATGAACAGTCAGACTTCACCCTGTTACCTCAGTTTCCTCATCTGTAAAATAAATGAAATGGCAAACCACTCCAGCGTCTTTGCCAAGAAAACCCCAAATGGGGTCATGAAGAGTTGGACACAATCAACAAAACTACTACAACAACATGAAACTTCTCCACACCAAAGAAAATCAGTCACCCAATTATTAAGAATCAAGGCAGAGTAGCCTACTGGGAAGACCGTAGGAGCTAGAGTCAGAAGAATTGAGTATGAATCCTGCCTCAGACACTTAGTAGTTGTGAGACCCCAGGAAAGTCATGTTAACAAAGAAAGAAATTTGTAAACCTTAGTAAGTGCTACATAAATTTGAGTTTATTCATTTAAAAATGGAGCTTTGATCTGTGATTTACTACTTGGTGATACTGATCACCCAAATTTGATAAGCAAACCCAGAAATCTGAGTAAAATCCTCACTTTAAAATTCTCAATTTCCTTAGTCTGGTAAAGGAAAACATACAAATTTTTAAAAGAAAAATTTTCTTTTCATTATGTTCATTCAATAGATTAATCTTAAACCTTAGAAACATGCAATGTTTTATGCAAAGTCAGTTTTTAAAATACAGACTGTTTAACTTAAAATGGTACTCCAAATGCATACTGTTTCTACTTTGTATGCAAAACAATTTTGACATCATCCCATCTACAAATCATGCATTACTACTACAGCCCTATTAAGATGAAAAATTACGGCTTAACATACAACATTTTGGCAAAGTATTATTGTTGCTAAATAAGCTGCTCTAGTGCAGGAAATTTCTCTCCTCGAAGCCACAGAATTGATTGCATCATAATTGTTTTTTGCTAATGACAGGCTCTTGGCCATTTGGCATCAGGAAACACTAAAATTACCAGCTTAAAAATACACACTGGAGAATAATTTCGAAATCATTGCACATTTGGAAAACTCATTAAGGCTTATTTTTGGTGCCCTCCATTAAGAACCGGAGAATGGTCTTGCTTGTACTTGCGTATCACACACACACACACACACACACACACACACACACTCCTCCTGCAGAAGGTTCAGCACTTACTGTTTGCTGCATTGAATCCATCGGTCCCCCTCTTTCCCACAGTTCCCCTTCTCAGTGCCTTCTGTGTTAAGTTTTTCATAGCAGAATTTGTCAGACCCTGCAGCCTCTTTTGAAGGTAAAGGGAATACGAGGAAGATGTTAGTTCCATTTATAATCCCAACCCTGGGGAAATGATTTCTTTCCTAAATGCAGGCAATCTAGCAGCAAAGTTAATAAATGTACCTACACTACCTAGGATTTATCTTTGTTAGGGGTATCAAGGTTTTTTTTTTAATCTATGTTTTAGTCCTTAAAATTTTATTTCTTTTTTAAAGTTATAACATTGGATAGAGAGCTGGACTTCAAATCTTCAGGACATTTACTAGCTGCCCCTAGTCACAACTTCTGTGAGCCTCAGTTTGCTCATCTATAAAATGGGGATAAAAATAGCATCTACTCCAAAGAGTCATTGTGAGGACCTAAGCAAATAACATGTATAAGGTGCTTTGCAAACCTTAAAGTACTATACAAATATCAGTCATTATTATTATTCTTGTCTATTTTTCCTTTTTCTATTTGTGTATTGTCTAACCACTTCAACGAAGGGATGGTTTCATTTTTGCCTTCACATCCCCAAAGCCCATGCCAGGGACAGGCACATAAGTGGGGCTTGATAAGTGCTTGATTGACTAAAAAACACCATTACACAAAGACATTTCATCAATGAATAATTCTGCAATGCTGATTACACAAATGAATCCACTTATCATCAGATCATTTTTGGTAGTCTGATCCCCTTTAGAACCTATAGCCCCAATCGACAGCGATGGATCCTAGTCAAGCAAAAGGGGGCAATGAAGGATTTTCTGGCCATTTCTTTTTCTTCCTCTGTTGTTCTTTTACTCTTTCAACAGCTCAAGAGAATAGTATTCTACCTTCCAATTTGCCCTTTCCAAACTAAAGAGAATTGACAAATCTTTCCAAGAAAAGTTAATGTGGGCTGGTAGAAGAAAATCCTTTGCGAAAATTCTTAAAAGAATGAGAGAGATACCATTTAACTGTCTTGTACCTCTGGAAGGTAAAACCTTCCTTTGTGACTGATAGAGCAAAAGCTTCCCAAAGATTCCAATGCATCCATCTGAGCTTTGCTTAGGAATCAGTGCCATCACTTTATAATTGGTAACTAAGAGACAGAAATGGAAAGCAAAATAATGTACATATCTATAGAGGTTCCTCAGGGCAAGCTTCCAGAAACTAACAAATTCCGTGGGGCTCTAAGATCTTATGTCCCAAATCCCAAGAGATGCCTTTGCCACAGTACTAACCTACGTTTTCTAGGTGGGCATGCAATTGGTCCCTGGAGGCTTGCTTGGGGAGCTCCATACATATTTATATAAATAAGTGCATATACACATACACATATATTACATATATGTGTAAATATGTACGTATGATCAATACATAAAGTAAATAACAAAGACATTGGATCATCATGAATTTTACCACTACAATTCAGTGTGATCTCGATAAAAGAGAAGTCAACACACCTTTCAGAAAGACAAGAAAACTGAATGAATCACCTATTATCTTCTATTTACATGCATGAGATATTGGTGCAAATTTATTTATTTCTTATAACTGGAAAACTATACATTTTCCACTTTCATAAACACACTTTTTCTCATTTTTCTTACACCTTTTCAAGAAGCAAATGACATGTTATAAAACTGAGAAAGAATTTATGGAAAGCACACATATATAATAAGTTGCAGGAAAATGAAACCTACTGCTTCCCCAGATGTACTGGCATTGATTATCTCTTGTCTTGCATTCCCCATTGTAGCAACGACCCTAAAAAAAAAAATCACATGTCAGACAAAATATGTAGGTTGTGTCTCACTTCAGAATACTGACTTCAAGGTTACCTTTTTACATTTTCTTGGTAAATTTCCCTGCCCCCCCCATTCCAGGCCCAAGGATCCTTTTTCACCTTCCAGTAAAAGTCATTAGGTCACTATCATCTTAAGAGAAACATACAGGTATATATGCTTATCATGTGTGTATATGTGTGTGTAATATCTATCTATCTACATCTGTGCTTATGTATGTGTGTGTGTGTGTGTGTGTGTGTGTGTGTGTGTGTGTGTGTATGGCATTAAGAATATAGATTTTTACAGATTAATCCAGTAATGATTTTAATTCTTTCAATTTACCAAGCAGGCATACCTGCTTATATCAATGGATGGGAAAACTAAAACTGTTGGAGCTTTTTAGGTAGAAATGTCCAAATGGCCTGTGAAATTTATTGACTTGAGTAGCATAAGTCATGACCTTAGAAAGAATGAGTTCTGTGCAGTTCATCTAATGTCCTTTAGGAGAGGAAGAGGTCCGAGACAGAAGTGAAAGTGACAGATACAATCTAAGCATTATTATAAATTCGTAAGCTACGATTCACCTCAGTGCTTTTCATCTGATGCACTACTATGTTCCAAAGAATTCCTGCGGGTGGAACTCTAAATGAAGTACTACCTTCTGGAAAGTTAACAGAGGGAACTTTTAGGCCCAGATTGGAGCACTCTGCATCAGAAGTGGAGGCTTCTTCAGACAAAAGTCAAAGTGACAAGACCAAGCCAGTCATGCCTCAAACATATACAACAAGGAAAGACAAGAACTCAGGTGACTTGTAGAGTCCCTACTTCAAATACAAAGAATAGCGAAGCACCCAGAAGCTCAGGGTGGTAAAATAGCAAAATATGAACAGAGAATGAAAATATTAGGAATCGTGATGTCTGAATTTCTTACTAGTAAACTGAAAGTCCTGGAATGTTGAAGCCGATCAAGCCCAAAAGAGCAGATGAAGTTGGTAACATATGGAAATATACAGGGAAAGTTGTGTGTGAACTTCTACAAGATTTTATTCAATGATTTCTTAGTCAACAAATATTTATTCTGATGCATACTATGTACGCATCACTGTATATTCACAGTTTCAGAATTTTAGAAGTGAAAGACACCAGTATTCATCTGATCTAACCCTTGTGGTTATGCATGTTGGTTTAATAATAGAATTTAGATCAGTCAATCAACCAGTATTTACTAAGTACTCATTATGTGTAATAGGCATGTGTCAGGTACCACGTTAAGTACCTGGTTCAATGTCCTTTCCATTCCACCACACTTCAATATTGTCCTTTCTTATCCTGGAAAAAGTCTATATGCTATGCTAGGAAGTATATACCACCATTTTTGCCCTAAAAGAATTATCATTAGAATGGGGAGAATTATTAGTAAATTACATATAGGAGTGAATATATATGTATACGTATGTGTGTATTTATATATACACACATACATACACATATATATAATTAACAGAGAGAAGTATAAAGTACATATTTACCATCATACATAGTTGTAAATTTATTATACTTTATATATAAAGTATGTATGTATAATTAATTTATAATTATATATCTAATTATAAATTAGATACAATTAAGTGCTGAATTAAAGGGCCAATATCACATAATCTAGCACTTCATTATATATAATTTATAATTATATGGATATAATTATAAAACATTCAAGGTATGTGATACATAATTTTATAATTATAAACACATAATTAAGTGCAAAATTATGTGATATTGTCCCTATGTTATAATTTTGCACTTAATTACATATAATTCTAAATAATATATAAATTATTTTTAAAATTCTATTTATTTTATTCTGAATAAGAAATAAAACAAGCATATAATTTATAAGTAATATATAATTATAAACAGCATAATTGTATGTATATCTACCCAGTATATGTGCGGATAGGGTTGTACGTGCTAAATAATGTGATATAGGTCCTATGTTCTGTAAGGAGTTCAGAGAAAGTTGAAAACAATTAGGGATGAATAGTCAGGGAAGGCTTTATAGAGAAGGTAAAACTTAAGCAAGGCTTTGAAGAATGGGTAAAGATTTGGAAACATCACCAGTTAAAGGGACAGTAATGGAAGTGGGGTGTTCAGAAGACAGTAAAGACACCCAAGGTATCACATCATAAAAGAGCTAGAAATAAATTTGGATGAGCAAGAGCTGATAACAAATGATGGAATGCCTTACAAACCCAAACAAAGAAGTTTTAGCTTGATAAAGTAATCAACAGGGAGTTGAACAGAGAAGTGACAAAATGAAAGCCACATTTAAGAGCTATGGATCTGGCAGTGGTGTACACGATGGTGGAGTGAGAAAAGGCAAGCATCAAAGAGGCCAGATGCATTAATCCCATTGTTTAGTGATGACTGTCTAGGTGGCATTGGAAATGAAGAGTAATTGAGAGAATTTAGTCTTGGCCCAAACTCTTTTAAAACACCAGTAGCTATCTGCATGATGGAATATCCAGGTAGTATAATTAATAAATGAAGAACAGGTAATTGGGTCTAGCACTTAGCATAGTGCCTGGCACATAGCAGGTGCTTAATAAATGCTTATTAAAAAGGTGGCACAGAAAAGGCATGGACTCATCTGAGCTCTCCCAAATGCCCCTCCAAACAATTTTAAATATTGCCTCAAAACAAATTCTGGAGTGGTAGAACCAACAAAAACACAGGGTGAAACAATTTTCCATCCCAGATAACTTAGAAGGTCAGCAAGAAAGATCTGTCACACCAGGATAAGAATGGAGCAGAGTCTAGCACAGGTTGTGCAGAAACTCAGCAAGCCAGCAGCAGGTCTTGGAAGCAACAAAGCAGCAATTTCTGAGCTCTCAGCCCACAGATGGTAAAGGGGTTGTACAACCGTGTAGAAGGAGATTACAGGGGTCCCTTTGCTGGCACTAGGGGCAGGACTCCATTGCAATGCCCATGCATGGATTCAGGTCACAGTCCTAGGTGCCAGTCTCAGGGCAAGAACAAGCAGTAGCACACTAGAGCTGGTAGACATAAGGGAGCAGGAACCCTGGTTCTAATTCCAGAGTGGAAAAGAGTATTTATGATCTCTCTAAGACCAGCGCATGGGCGAGGAGAGCAGTGACCATACTTCTCCGTAGATCATAACAACTTGGAAGAACTGAAAACTTACAGACCCCCAGAACTAGCTCTGAGAGCAGAAGTAAGAAAGGCCCAAAACTTGGGACAATGCCTCCTCCAACCAAGAAGCAGAGCCCCACTTTAACATAGACTTATAAGTCAAGGAAAAGGATAGAAAAGTGAGCAAACAATAACAAAAAAAGAACCTGACCATAGAAAGCTATTATGATGACAGGGAAGATCAAAACATAAACTCAGAAGACAACAAAGTCAAAACTGGTACATCCAAAGCCTCAAAGAAAAATGTGAATTAGTCTCAGGCCTAAAAAGATTTCCTAAAATAATTCATAAAGGATTTTAAAAATCAAATAAGCGAAGTAGAGGAAAAAACTGGGGGGGGGGGTGGAATGAGAGTGATACAAGAAAATCATGAAAAAAATTAAACAGTCTGGTAAACATCTTCAAAAAACAGAATAGGCCAAATGATAAGAAGAAGCACAAAAATCCAATGAAGAGTAGAATGGCTTGACAAGCAGAATTGGCCAAATAGAAAAGGAGGTACAAAAGCTCACTGAAGAAAATAATTCCTTAAAAATTATAATTGAGCAAATGGAAGTTAATGACACTGAGACATCAAGAAACAATCACACAAAATCAAAAGAATGAAAAAATGGAAGAAAATGTGAAATACCTCATTGGAAAAACAAATGACATAGAAAATAAATCCAGGAGTGATAATTTAAGAATTATTGGACTACCTTAAAGCCATGAAGAAAAAAGAGCCTAGACATCATCTTTGAAGAAATTGTTAAGGAAAATTGCCCTGATATTCTAGAATCAGAGTGTAAAATAGGAATTGGAAGCACCTACTGATCACCTCTTGAAAGAGATCCCAAACTGCAAACTCCCAGGAATATTACAGTCAAATTCCAGAACTCCCAAATCAAGGAGAAAATATTGCACACATCCAGAAAGAAACAATTTAAATATGGTGGATTCATAGTCAGGATAACACAAAATTTGGCAGCTTCAACATTAAAGGATCAGAGGGTTTGAAATATGATATTCTGGAAGGCAAAGGAGATAGGATTACAACCAATAATCACTTATCCAGCAAAACTGACTATAATCCTTCAGAGGGAAAAATGGTCATTCAGTGAAATAGAGGACTTTCAAGCATTCCTGATGAAAAGACCAGAGCTGAATAGAAAATCTGACATTCAAACAGAAGACTCAAGAGAAGGATAAAAAGGTAAAGAGGACAGAGAAATCACAAGAGATTCAATAAGGTTAAACTATTTACATTCCTACATGGCAATAGGATACTCATAACTCCTAAGAACTTTCTCATTATTAGGGCAATTAAAAGGAGTACACAGACAGAGGATGTGAGTTTGAGTTGAAAATGATGTAATAGAACCAAAAAAAATAAATAAAATTAAGGAGTGAGAAAGAGAAACACACTAGGAGAAGAGGAAAGGAGTGGTAGAATGTGGTAAATTATAAAAGAGGTTATAAAAAGAGCAGTGGAGGGGAAGATGTGGGAGGTGGGGTGGGGAGCACTTGAACCTTACATCGGAATTGGCTCAAAGCCAAAATAATATACACACTCACTTGGTAATAGAAATCTATATTACCCTACAGGAAAGTGGTCAGGGAAGGGGGTAAGAGAGTGGGGGTGCTGATAGAAAGGAGGATAGATTAGGTAGTCAGAAGGAAAACACTTTTGAGGACAAACAGGGAGAAGGGACAGAGAAAGAGAGCAGGATAAGCATGGGAGAAATAGAATGGAGAAAAACACACAGTAATCATAACTGTGAAAAAAAATTACAGCATGTTTCTCTGATAAAGGCTGCATTTCTCAAATATATAGAAAATTGCATCAAATTTATAAAAAAATAAGAGCCATTCCCCAGTTGATAAATGGTCAAAGGATATAAACAGGCAGTTTTCACATGAAGTAATCAAAGCTATCTATAGTCATATAAAAATGCTCTAAATCTCTATTGATTAGAGAAATGCAAATTAAAATAACTCTGAGGTACTATCCCACACTTATTAAATTGGCTAATATGATAGAAAAGGAAAATGACAAAGTTGGAAGATACATGGGAAAACTGAGACACTAATGTGCGGTTGGTGGAGTTGTGAACTGATTCAACCATTCTGGAGATCAATTTGGAGCTATGCCCAAAGGGCACAGAGTCTCTGACCCAAAAAATACTCCTACTAGGTCTGTATCCCAAAAAGATTTTTCTGAAAAGGACATATATGTACAAAAATATTTATAGCAGCTCTTTTAGTAGTGGCAAAGAATTGGAAATTGAGGTGACGCCCATCAATTGGGGAATGGCTGAACAAGTACTGGTATATAATTGTGATGGAATACTACTGTGCTATAAGAAATAATGAGTAGGATGTTTTCAGAAAAACCTGGAAAGACTTCCATGAACTGATACAAAGTGAAATGAGCAAAACCAGGAGAACATTGTACACAGTAACAGCAATATTGTATAATGATCAACTGTAAATGACTTAGCTATTTTCAGCAATACAATGATCTAAGACAATTCAGAAGGATTTATGATGAAAAAATGCTATCACCTTCAGAGAAAGAAATGATAGCACTTCAATGCAGATCAAAGCATACTTTTTAAGCTTTCTTTATTTTTCTAGGGGTTTTTTTGGTTCTGTGTTTTCTTTCACAACATGACTAATATGGAAATCTGTTTTGCATGACTGTTCATGTATAACCTATATCAAATTGCTTGCCTTCTTAATAAGAAGGAAGGAGAGAGGGAAGGAGGGAGGGAAAGAATTTGCAACCCAAAATTTTAAAAAATGAATGTTTAAAATTGTTTTTACATGTAATTGGGAGAAAATAAAATATTAAATAAATATACTTTTAAAAAAGAAATGATAAAAAGATGGCTTTAAATAAACCTGGGAAGACTCATATAAACTGATACAGAATAATTTATACAATGACAATATTATAAAAGTGTTAATTGAATGACTGAGTGAAGGGAAATACATAGGTATGTGATATTAAAGGTGGTGAACTAGAGAAAAAGTCAGAAATTAACAAAATGATATTCAACAAGGATAGTACACCCAGGAAAGGAAAGCAAGCACAAAAGTACAATGAAAGTACTAGGTTGTGTTGTTGGGTTTTTTTAAGTACTGAAAAAGATTATATAGGAAAAACCAAGTGATCATGAGTGAGCCACATGACACCAGTTTTTAAATTAAGCACTTATCCTGTCTGCATAGAAGGTGAGAACCAGAAATGACCTCATGCATTGGTCTGGGATTATTTGTTTGTTTGTTTGTTTGTTTGCTTTAACTCTTCAGTGGCCAGAATTTTACTAGATTACTATGTACAGTTCTAAGTTCTACAACTCAGGAAACATATGAAGAATTTTGAGAAGGTTCATTAGAATAAAAAAGATGATTACCCTAGACTTTTAAAGAAGATGAAAAGAACATTGAGGTAAGTGATATTCTTTTCTCGGTCCTCAGTCTTATTGACCTATAGACTTGACATTGTTGCCCACCCTTCTCCTCCTGAATATTCTCTCTTCTCTAGGTTTTTGTGAAACTACTTGATCCTGATTCTCTTGCCACCTGACTGACTACTTCTCAATCTTCTCTGCTTGCTCATCATCTATATCACATCCCCAGTTGGAGGTATTTGCAATGGCCTATGTAGGGCTCTTATGGAGAGACTAGTGAGTGTGTCTAGCTATTCTGTTTTTATACAAGGGAAAATGGGCTTAAATCCTAAGATTTTCTTAACAGTGCATTCCTAAATATTGAAAAATATTTTTTCCAGAGATTAAAAGTTATAAATTCTCCTCTTCCTGGGGTTACTTAAAGTGGAATAGAGGAGATCTCTCAAGGTTGTTTTGTAAACATGTTTGCTGAAAATACTTTAAAATATTCATACGCCAATAATCCAATTCCTAGTCATCTATTCACTAATCTTCCTTTGTCCAATCTTAAAAGGGTGACTTTTCACTAAAATTAAAGGCAATATATTTAATATTTCTATATTCATTTCAAGTTAGAGTATTACTATGATGGTTAAGTGTTTGAGTTGTTCCCTACCTGCAAAAGACACAAGTGACAAAAATCATGCAAACTATATTTTGCATATTACATGCAAAGTTTTGTGTATAATATACAAAACTATATTAAAATTTGTAAAACTTGGCATACCTGATTAGAATTGCAAGAATATCCATCCTGTTTATGAAGATTGGGTGGGCACTGTAAAACACAACCCTATTAGTAAATATTGCAAATTTATAAGAACTAAGGAATTCGCAGTGAGTAAAATACATCATAGATTTTAAAAAGAATTATATTTTATGTATATCAAGCACAATATTGAAAAGTCAAAGAGAAGGCAATAAGAATAATGCTGTAACTAGAAGTCAGAAATAATACATACTATATATCAAAGTTGTTTTTTAACTCATGAATATAAAATGTGTTTAAAATACAATAGATTAGGTTTGAAAAGGGTGAGAAGTAGTTATATACTTTTATATGGTAAGTAATTTGGGGTTGGGGCAATCCCAGATCTGTGATTTTATCATTGTAGGAAGCTCCTTGTAAGCAAATTCCTTCTATCATCTCAGAACTGTAGCTACCTTGAAATTTGAAGTTTTAAAAAGTTGCTGATGGCCCTGAGAGATTAAATTACTTGCCCAGGGTCACATAGGATGTATGCATCAGAAGTGGGCCTTGAAACAAATTGTTCTGATTCAGAGAAGTCAAATCTATCCGCTATACTATGATAAGAAATTAAATTAAAATGTTTTTAATTAGAGCTTTAAAAGCATAATTGCTGAAAAATGACAGTTTGGAAAATAGGTCAGATTGTAATTCTAGAACACACATGGGCAGGGCCTATTCTAGAAAAATTTCCGCACTGTGAAAAAGCTGTTTGTATACTACTCATGTGCCCACTTCTCTGGGCACCCTATATATAGTACCTAGACAGTAACCCTTTATTTATAACTTTTTTTATAAAAGGAAAAAAAATACCCTGCTTTCTACCTTCTAATTCAAAATGAGTGCTATTATTGTATGTACTATTATTGCCCTCCTTTCTCCAAAGACTGAATCATTATTATAATAACTGAGCCATAGTATAGTTTTCTTTAGCAGGACCATTTTATGAAGCATTTTTGTAAAAATACATTTCATTTTTTTAATCTATTCACCCACAACACTGCTTGAATGGGTGGGGCTGAGGAGAGTTTTTCTGAATTCTCATTTGATTTACCACATGTAAAAACTGAGAAATTCCAAATTAAAGCCCTTCCATAGCACTGAGTCCAGAAAGAACTTATTAAAGGGAACAAATTTATGCATCTCTGCTATTAAATGAGCAAATGTGACAATTTAAACTAAAATTACCCAAATCAAGGTGAAATCATTTCATTTTGCATACTTTAAGTACAGTTATCAAACTGCATATCAATGCTTCTGGCCATTTGTTTACAAGAATATTCAATTACTCATAAGGCTTCTGGAATACTTCTCTTTCCTAATAGGCAGCTTCCTGTAACACATTTTCATTTGTGAATTTCAGCAATAAACCCTGGCTAACTGCACCATGTCTATTAAAAATGCAGCAGTGGTCAGTGGGTCTTTTTCACTGGAATCTATTCTTAGAACATAGTATCAGGAGTGCATTAATCAACCAAAATAAACTCTCCAACTCATTCCAGAATTAAAATAACCTGAATGAACAGAGAATGAGAAAGTCAGCTGAATAGAGTAGATAGTAGGCCAACTTTAAAATTCCATACAAATTTAAAGTCTACCCATGGCACATGGTGGGTGCAGCTAGGTGGTACAGTGGATAGAGTTCTGGGGTCAAGAAGACTTATCTCCCTGAATTCAAATCTGGCCTCAGACAATTGCTAACTGTGACAGACCCTGGGCAAGTCACTTAATCCTGTTTGCCTCAGTCTCCTTATATGTAAAATGAACTGGAGAAGGAAATGGCAAACCACTCCAATATCTTAGTCAAGAAAATCCCAAATGGGGTCACAAAGAGTCAGATATGATTGAACAACATGGCTCATGTTGTCTGGGAAATCATGGGCAAGTTACAAACTCTCAGCTCCCCAGGGAACTCTCTAAGACAAACTGCAGTTTTGCATTGTTCTTTTATAGTTTCCTATATGATAAAATATTATGTAGGGACTCCTCCTCTCCCAGAAAAAAAAAGAAATGACAAAAATTCTAGAAGTATAGACGGGACGGGGATATGGCAGAGGGGAAGAGGATAGGATGTTTCATTGCAGAACAAGCACATCAGTCTACAATTAATTTGCCAAATTTGCCAAGTGTGGCCAATATGTCATAGCCACAAATTCTCATAATCACCTGGGAGACAATTTACACTTGACTCATTGTTGGTGCATACTTATTAGTCATTAAATGCAGACTGCTAATCAATAGAATAATCTCAGGAAGGAAACTAGATAATGCTTTCCTTGGAGGCATTTGATGTTCTACAAGACAATTCACTAAAAAAAAAAAACTTAAGGGCAATGCTGCCTATTTAAGTAGCACATCTAAAGGACTGGGCAAACATTATGCTTTAGAAAATCTAACTGGTACAAGAGAGGGAGCTCTGGACTTGAAGTCAAAAGGACCTGAGCTCAAATTCTGCCTCAGACACTCATCAGCCATGTGATCCTGGGCAAGTGAGATAGCTAACAAGCATTCTGTAGCCGCCTACTATGTACCAGACAACATGCTAAATGCTGGAAAGTCATTTATCCTGTCTTGGCTTCAGTTTCCTCATCTGTCCAAAAGAGAGGGTTAGACTTAATGGCTCCTAAGGTCCCTTCTGGCTCTAAATCTGTTAAACCTTGTCACACATATTTCTTACACATGTGCCTCACTGCTATTATGGTCTAACTTTAAGCTTATTCCTCGTGTGGATGCTGGATGTGTTTGTGGGAAAGAGTGAACCTGGATCTTGGAAGAATGTTTTGTATTAATTCTCTCTACCATGTTATCTGAGAGTAGCAGCAGCTGCCCTGTGGGACCCAAGCTGCCAATTAGAGCAGAAATTGAGGAATGCTACTATTACCATCATCGTCATCATTATTATTAATTATTTCTTCTTCTTCTCCTCATCCTTTTCCCCCTCCTTCTTCCTCTCCTCCTCCTCATTTTTTTTTCAAAAAGCGGGGACAATTCACTTTTTATCCTGTGCAGTTTTCATTTTTGATTTCTTGAAATATAGCTCTGGAAAGACAGGCTTTTTTTTAAAAAAAGCCCATTGTGCTTTAAACGGAGCTACTTGACTAAGCCTTTAAACCCATATCATTCTGGCTTTCACTGAATGGCCAATAATAGCCTCAACCAAAGCCTCCGTGGCTCATTGTTCAGGTTTTGATGGTTGTGAATGAGTGCAAATAGCCATGGTTTTCTGTTCTGGCCAGAAACTATGAAGATCTTCCTCTCTTAAAATGAAATCTTTGTGATGGTAAATTGGGCCATCTTTTGTCTCAACTCTTACCCAGCTGTTGGAGTCAATGAATGGCTGTGACCTCAGACAAACTGAGACCTGAGAAAGACCCTAATTTAGAAAGGCCAAGGTCACCACTGTATCCTGGACCATCACCAGTCACCTTGATCTCTGCCTTGCCACTATACTTTGATGACCAGAGGAGAGAGTAAGGCTGAGGACTCTGCAAAGCTCTGCCTCAGTCATATCCAATTCACACACACCAGTCAAGATAGCACCCTCATGATGTCATTGGTCCTCTTCAAGAATCAAGGGGGAACAACAACAAATCTGCAATCACATCCATATGTTATATTCATGTAAGCTATTTCTCTTGATCACACATTTCTTTTTATTGAATCTCCTATAAGATATAATGTAGAGAATTTCCATCAGTTTTCATAAACATATCAAAATCAAGTCAACTGGACAGACAGCATGGCTAATTTCCAGAACTGTCCATAGATATTTATTCTCTGAGACTCACTCCTCTTATCAAGTATGAGGCCTCATGAAATAATCAGGGAAGTCATGTGCACAATGTGCAACAACTGCCTGAAAAGAGGAGGCTTTATTTTCTTTAACAACTTCTACATACACACTACTCTTGTTTGGTCCACTCAGGACATCACAGATTGAGGGGGAAGGGACTTCAGAAGCTAACTAGCATACCTCTCTCATTTCTTTTTAAAATTTTTTAAAATTTATTCTTAGTTTTCAATACTCACTGTTATAAGATTTTGAGTTCCAATTTTCCCCCCTCCCTCCTCTTTTCCCTCCCCAAGATGGCATGCAGTCTGATATGGGCTATACACGTACAATCACATTAAACATATTTCTCCATTAGTCATGTTGTGAAAGAAGAATCAGAACAAAAGGGAAAACAAATCACAAAACAGAAAACAAAAAAAGTTAACATAGTATACTTCGATCTGCATTTAGACTCCATAGTTCTTTCTCTGGATGTGGATAGCATTTTCCATCCTGAATCCTTTGGAATTGTCTTAGATCACTGTATTACTGAGAAGAACTTAGTCTATCAGAGTTGGTCATAGCACAATGTTGCTGTTACTGTGTACAATGTTCTCTTGGTTCTGCTCACTTCAGCATCAGTTCATGTAAATTTTTCTAGTATGCTAATTTCATTTCACAGAGGAGGAACTGAGTCATAGAGGAATTAGGTGACTTAACCAAGGTCTCACAGGGAGCAAATAACAAAGGAGGGATTCAAACCCAGGCCCTTTTGTTCCAAATGAAGCAGCTTTCTACTGAACCACATTGCCTCCTGGTAACCTAATACACCATAAGAAACCAACTCCAAGCAAAGCAATTCTCAGCTTAGGATCATAGATTTAAAGCTAAATAGGACCGCAGACAAAAAAATAGATTGAATTTCTCATTTTTCAAATGAAACTGAAGCCAATGAGGTCATGACTTGCCCAGAGTCAAGTAAGTTCCTAAAATTGGATTTGAACTCAGGGCTCCCTAACTCCAAGTTTGCTGCTCTATCCACTATGTCTCTTATAAATTTAGAGTTGGAAAGGACCTTGGAGGTTATTTAGTCTAAGTCCTTCATCTTACAGTTGAAGAGACAGAGGCCTAGAATGATTTAGTGACTCGCCCAAGGTCACAATGAAATACAATAAAAAATCAAATCCTGGTCATCAGACTCTAAAACTAGTGTTTTTGTTTTTTGTTTATTTTTTTTACTGTGCCACACTAACTCTATTTGCTCAATTGGGAGTTGAAGAACTATCTCTGAATGAGCAAGAGGCATTTATGTAACAGGTTAATTCATACATGTTAGCCATGTTAAAAATATTTCAAGTCTAGGCAATGATGCTTCAAAAATTAAAGTTGCAAATCTTCATTAGAACATTTAGATTTTTCAAAAGCCTGAGAAAAATGGTTTCAAGACATAAGAGTCATCAATTCCATATAATTTAAGCATGATATATTCTACTATGTAGTTCCTAAGGATTTTCAATAATAATTATTTATACAATGCATTAAAGTTTGCAAAGAAATTTATGTGCATTATCTCAGGAAAGCCTCACAACAACTCAGTGGGCTAGGTACAATCGACATTATTTTATTCTCCACTTTATAAATCAATAAACTGAGACATGGGAAGTTAAATGACTTGCCCATATTCACAGAATTAATGTCAGAGGCAGGATGAACCCAGGACTTCCTGACTCCAGCCCCAGTAATCTATCCACTAGGACGTATTTTTTCAAATGAAACACAATACCCAGTAATGCCAACAATGTGTCAACATATCAGAGGAACAATGCAAAGAATAAACCTAGCAATATGCCTAAATGGTACAAGATGGAAACGTCTAAGTCACATTAAGAATAATCTAAATATGCCCGTTTAAATTTGGCCAATGAATATATTTGCTAGAGAACCTATTTTAACATTACTACATTTGCCAACTGGTCCAATTGACCATATTTCCATGTACTTTCCATATGTGGGACCTGGAAACTGGTAAATGTTCTGCACACGGCTAACTCACCTGCAGAAGCTAGGGGTACCAGGATAAGAGAGCCAGGTTAATTGGTTATAAATCACAAGGGCTGATACTCTTAATAAATGGTCCCCCAAATGAATAGGGAGATAGAAGGATTAAATTATGACAGAACACAATTAAAAGCCTTGTTCCTTAAGGGAATAATAAAAACTTTCCTGTCCCTAGTATATAAAAAATATGTATATAAATATGTATATATGTTGTATGTAAAAACAACAAAACTCAGAATTTACTCAGTTAAACCACATCACAATATGGTTGTAGGTAAAGGAGGATGAGTAAGGGGAGAAAAACAGAAACAAGTCTGCAGAAATATTCATTGCTAAATGCTTTTTTAAATGAATTCATAAGGAGACGCATCCAAGCTGGGAAATGGATGGTCACATTTCATTATACCTGGCCAGAGTCTCCAGTGCAGGTTTCAGTAATGTCACAGTCATTTACTCCTTCTCGACAATTATACCCTCGTGGCTGAAACTAGAAATTGAGGATCATTAGTTAAGCATCAGAATCAGTTATTTGAGAATTCCAATAGTCTTCTCATTCTTTAAGTTGAAAATGTCAATGTCTCTGTTAACAGAGCCTTTTAAGTCATGACTTCCACCAAGCAATCAACATGAGTCATGAGGCAGATACCAAATGGATGTAAGCCAGCTGCCACCCACTTTGCCTATGAATCATCAGCAAAAAAGTAATATGTTCAGGTTTCAAAAACTAATTTGACATGATCATTATTTTAAATAGACACCAAGATAACAGAGCATCTCATTCCATTCTTAAACAGTTATAATTATTAGTAAGTTCTTCCTTCTGTTTTGTCAAAAACTACTTCACTATAATTAACTTATATTAGGTAGAACACACATAAACACACATATATGCATATACATTATATACATATATGTGTATATGTATGTGTGTGTGTATATATATATATATATATTATATATATTTATCTTCATTAGGTTTACCTAATATTTTGAGTATAATTCAATGAAGAAAGACATTCCTTTTTCCTTTTGTAGATGCACAAAATAAAATTTAATCCTGGGTCTGTATCCATTTTTGCTTCACTACTCACTTGGCTTCATGGATCACTCAATCCTCCATTCAACTGAACTATAGACTGTTAGCACAGCAGGGAAAGCAGCCCAGCTGGGAAACAAGGGTATGAAGGAAACAGCAATATCTATCAGCCATAGGGAGTGTACCAGCCTCTTGTCCATAATGGGGCAGCTTTCAGACAACACTTTTAAGCTCAGAGAGTTAAGGTTTCCTCTACTCATGCTGGGAAATTAACCTTCATAATACTATGTTCCCAGATCTCGGTAATGCTCAGAGAGGCAAGGAAGGCAACAGGTAGGAGGACTTCTTCTTCTTTTAACTACAAGGTTATGTGTTGCCAGATGTCTTTGATGCCCTTAATTATTTGGGAAAAAAACAAAACTATTTCTAAGGCTGCTAAAGGCAGTGGCCACCAAAAATAATCGACAAACTCTTGCACAAGCATTATTTCTCTCACACAGTTAAATATGCTTTGGGTTGCTTATCTAGTTTAGAAGTTAAAAGAAGGATGAATGTGTGTTGGAGTAACTCACGAGACAGGTGGTGCTGTTACAACAGGGTCCATCGCTGCAATGTGCTCCATTCGAAAGTGAGCATTTCTTGCAGCATACGCCATAGCATTCCTAAGAGAAAATACTTAATGTGAAGGATCAAGGAGTCTTTCACTCTAGATCAGGGCTTCTTGAACTTTTTCCACTCCCAATCCCTATCAACACTTCTTAAACTATGGGTCACAACCCCACTGTCCCTTTAATATTTCCCAATGATCTTCACCAAGAAAGGTCCAAATAAGGTCACCATCTATGCAATGGCAAACAAGTGTTTGGGAATAAAAGTTCTTTGCATCCCAAGTGCCTGGCACATAGTAGGTGCTTAATAAATGTTTATTCTTTGACTGAAAGAGAATTAACAACAACGCATAAATTTAGAGCTAGAAGGGATCTCAGAAGCCATCTAATCCAGAGAACTCTAGAAGAGGAGAGGAAAAGGAAAAGAGAGAGAGAGAAAGAGAGAGAGAGGGAGAACAATATTTCATGGTCTACATTCACATACCTCAGATCAAAGAGGCCTAAGTAGCCTTAAAAAGAAACAAGAAAATGGAACCCAAAGAATCCATTCTATTTTTTTCAACTAAGTATTCACTCAACCATAGATTATAGCAAATAACACTATAAATCTTCTAAATACATTTGAACTGAGGTTAATCTTGAAGAGTGTGGTTACAAAAACAAGATAATGAAGCTATGATAAGTAGTAGGACTCTGCCTTGTATTTGTTTTTTCAGTGTCTGGACTAGAAGGTAGTTTTTAAAGGTCTCAGATGCTTACCACATGGAAACCACAATCACATTCCTCTCCTGCTTCCACATAGCCATTTCCACATTCAGTGGCTTCAAACAACTAAAAGAGATTGGTGATAAGGGGAATTTAATATGTGATCACAAGAAATTAATATCAAAGAAAAGCAAATACACTAATGAGTCAACAGAATCTCCTAGTCAATTATCATGTAATATTGCCCTAGGACCCATCTCATTGGTGCTTGTGTTGGTAATATCATAGGGGAAATAGTCCAAGCCACATGACTTATTGGACCCCAGAGAGTAGCTCTGACATTGGAACTATTTCATAAAGAGATCAGCTGCCAAAGAGGAAGAGAGAACAGATCACTCTTCTATTCTGCCAGGAGAACTAACCTCTAACTTAAATTTAGCATTTTCTTCACATATGAATGTGATTAAAAATATTATTTGGTGAAGAGGCCTATATTTCCCCAGAATGCTAAAGATGTTGATGGCACAAAAACATTTAAAAACTCATGCTTTAGAGTCACATGTTACATCACAAAAATACTTATGAGCCATAGAAAGAAAAATTTCCTATTCAAACAATGTACATTAGGGGGCGGCTAGGTGATACAGTGGATAGAGTGCTGGCCCTGGAGTCAGGAGCACCTGAGATAAAGTCTAACTTCAGATACTTATTAGCTGTGTGACCCTGGGCAAGTCACTTAACCTGACTGCCTCCAAAACACAAAATGTACATGTATAAAATATTCAGTAAAAAGTGTCTCTCACTGTGTCTTACTGTATTTTGTGACCTTTGTGGCTGTCTACTTTGCCTATGCTTGACCCCAGCTCTAGTTCATGAGTGTTTCTGGATCCTTTGCTAAGAAGTGGCTGAATTTTCCAAACACCATACACTGTGTCAATATCAATGAGCTGTCAAGTCAATAAATAACATATCTTACCAAAGAAATAATATAATATGGATACAGAGCTGATAAAAATGATCTTCACAAACTGCCTTTTTCTCTGGCCTATTTAACCAGGCCATCTAATCAACTGCCTAGGAGGACAGGTTAAGCCTAAACGCACTGAGACAGAATTCTTAACCTACCTGAATTAGAAGCCTTTTGTACTTAGCACCAAAGTAAAAAACCAGTTATCATTATTCCACTGGTCTTCTTTATGGTAAAGTCTCATAAAAAAGAAAAATTAATCTATTATGACTTAGAGATTGCCTTTTACTGGTCTGTTGCTGTTTGATGGGAATAAGAGAAAGCCATAGTGAGAGTACTAGCTGAAGTGACTGACCTTTGTTGGCCTGTTAAAAAGACAGAATCCTCCCCCTCTTTGTAAAAAGTCCTTATATTCCAAAATGCTGCATTTTGAGAACTTCCGGGAATGTGACACCCTAAAAGGATAAAAATTCAGTTAGGTTATAATTCACCAAAAAAAAATGTCGACAAGAAAATTATAATCTTCATACTGCAAGATAATTCAAATGTTCCCCTCTGTAATTAGGTAAACTATCCACAGAAATTATTCTAAGGTAAGTGGGCAGGGTAAGACTTACAAAACGTAGAAATTCGGAGGATTCATGGGAAGACGCTAGACATGAGCCATACCTAAGTTTTGTTTAAGGGATTTTTCCTTAGAGTTCTACCCTATAGTCAGGGCACAATGAGGCAGAGAAAAATGAGAAAATCCTGGTGAACTGGGGGTGCCCATGATTCCAGAGAAAAAGCCCATTGCAGGAGGGGGCCATCTTGGCTTCGGATCACATCTATGATGCACTCAACAGTAAACCTAGGGCTTGACCCATTAAGTGGAAAGTTTAACAACCATCAAAATACCTTCAAAGTAGCTGCCCAAAATGTGACTATTTTATTTTCTCAATTCTCTGCCAGACAGGATGATGAAAGCCAATACACTCAACGAAAAGCAATACATTCAATGAAATATTGGAATTCAGCATAGAATTGCATACAGGAGAGGGCTCAGGAACAACGTTCGGATCATTGTTTAATAGGAAGATGGCAGATGACTGGAAGAGGGAGAGGAATAATAAACTAGATGCTCTCTCTTCAATTTGAGGGTGTGAAGGGAAAGCCTCAAAACGTATTTTTAGTCAATAAGCAGAATGAAGTTAAGGTACCCTAAATTAAATAGTTATGTCTTTATCCCCAACTTTCTAGTCTTAACATATTAGATACTTTGACTTATATTATGAAACAGATCATTAAAAGAAGTGTGCCAAAAGTATTTTGGCCTGCTCTGCTACTCCTCTCCAATTCTCAGCTAAGTTCACTGTCTGACCACATATTCTCTCTAAAATATATATACCTAGGAATATGAATCAATCAATCAACCAGTCATAAATGGTCAAAGGATATGTACATGCAGTTTTTGGGTGTAGAAATCAAAACTATATATGGTCATATGAAAAAATCCTCTGTCATTATTGATTAGAGAAATGCAAATTAAAATGTTAAAATATCTCAAAATTTATCAGATTGGCTAAGATGATAGAAGGGGCAAATGACTAATATTGGAGGGGAAATGGAAAAATTGGGACACTAATACACTGTTGGTAGAACTGTGAGCTGATCTAAACTGATTGGAGAGCAATCTGGAATTATGTCCAAAGAGTTATAAAATTGTCTATACCCTTTGACCCTGAAATACAACTATTAGGTCTGTTTTCCAAAGTGATCAGATGGAAAGAACATATATGTTCTAAAATATTTACAGCAGCTCCCTTTATGGTGGCAAAGAACTGGAAATTAAGGGGGTGTCCATCGATTGGGGAATGGCTAAACCAGTCATAGTGTGTGATTGTGATATAAGAAATGATGAGAAAGTTGACTTTAAAAAAACATCAGAAGACCTGCATGAAATAATGAAGAGGAAATGAGCAGAACTAAAAGAATGTTGTATTGTTCAAAGAATGACTGTGAACAACTAAGCTATTCTGGGTATTATAAATATTTATCTACAAAGTACTTATGAAGGAAGACATCATCCACCTCCAGAGAAAGAAGTGATAAACAGAAGTATTGTTTTACACACACACACACACACACATATATATATAACATATATATGCACATACATACATATATATGGGATGAGGATGGAAGGAGGGAGACAGTTCAGAACTTAAAATGTAAAAAAAAATTAATTTAATTTTAAAAATAAATAAAATATACGTATTGATGAACCAGCTCTAAAGATTGTTCTTCCAAATGCTTATTACAGTTTGGTCAGCAGGTGTCCTTTTATCTACTTGTCTTTCCTCTCTGATTACTTAGGCTGAATTATTTTATTAATCATGGAGCTTATTTAAGAGGCTTTGCAATGTTCTGGGGCTAGATGCTTTCAGTACATCACCTTTAAACAGAAGTAACTGGGGGACCTTGACACCTGTAAAGAATGCCTCATTTATTTGGATCCTGAGCTGACAGCCTCCATGAAAGTGGTAAACACCTCTAGTAGGCATATAACACTTTGTTTTATCCTTTACTATATATTAACAATCAGAGGATCATCAAACAAAGGTCTTTGTTGTTTCCTCATTATTCATTCACAAAACTGCTTGCTGTTCAGTCATACCAAGACATGGAAATAAAAATTATAAATATAGACAAGGTAAAGTGGATCATGAGCATTAATGGCCATTTGTTCTTACTTCTTTGGTATATCTGTAATAATAGAATTGAGTTTGGCAGGCATACATAAAATGGGATCCTAACAAGCTTTTATAGTGTTACTAAAGCAACACCATATCATTACAATTTCTTTATTAAAAGAAAATTAATATTTAAATAGGTTTGGCAAGTTTTTTTTAAAAGAAAAGCAATATTCAACTTATGTATGAGTTGACTTTCTAAAGTTTTCTTTGGAAATTAGTTATTTAAAAATAGGTATCTATTTTCTCATAGAAACAGTGTCACAAGAGGGTGGTTAAGTTCCTAGGCTAACCTACAAAAGGTGCAATCAATCATTTAACAAGCATTTTTAAGCACTTACTATGAGCACTATCTTAGGGGCTGGGGATAAAAAGACAAAAATGAAACAGTTCCTGTCATACATTCTATCAGGGGAAATAATATACATATACAGATATATATGTATACATATATATGTATACATATATATGTATATATATATATACACAGAGGTATATAACACACATACATATCTACATATGTATATTTATATGTGCATATGTGCATGTGCATATACATATATAAAATACATATATATATACACACACAGATACATCTATCTGCATGTGGATGGATGGATGGATTTACGCAGGAGTATGCTAGTAAATGATTAACAACCAGGTGTGCAGGAAAAAAAAAATATATATATATATATATACACACACACACACACACACATACACACAACACACCTTTAAGTGTAATTTGCATTATTAACATTTTCCCATCATTTCCTAAGTCTAGAAAATCAACAAAACAATAAATCAAGCCTTGATTTGCAGCATTTGGAGATTTTTCCAGGTATAAATGCTCACATTGAAAATATAACAATTGGGGCAGCTAGGTGGCTCAGTGGATAGAGCACCAGCCCTGAAGTCAGGAGGACCTGAGTTCAAATCCGGCCTCAGACCAAACACTTGACACTTACTAGCTGTGTAACCCTGGGCAAGTCACTAAATCCTAAGTGCCTCAAAATTAAAAAAAAAAACACAAAAATATAACAGTTGGCTTGCATGAGCCAGCAAGAACTGGCTCCAGAACACCTTGGATACATGTGTGCATATAGAAATAGACACAGGACGAGAAGAGGTGAGGCTAAGGCATTAGCAGCTAGTGGGGGGAAATGAAGAAAGGTTTAATGTAGTGATTCACTCTTGAGATGAATTTTTAAGGAAACCAGGAATTCTAAGCAACAGAAGGAGGGATCACATTGTAGACATGGAGGACAACAAGTGCAAAAGCAATGAGGGGAAATGGAGTGTATAAGCAATCACAAGAAGGTCAGTCTGAATGGACCACAAATGTACAAAGGTAAGTAAAAATGCTGGAAAGGTGGGTTGGGGCCGGTTGTGAAAGGCTTTAATACAAAATAAACAGCATTTCTAGCACAATATAAAAGAGTAGTGACAATGCTTTACCCCTGATCTTACTGGAAAGACCTCTAGTTTATCCCTAATATGCATAATGTTGGGTCTCAATTTTAGTTAGCTATTACTTACCATATTAATTAATGGTACATTCATTTCTATGTTTTCAAGTATTTTTATATAAATAGACATAGGTAATTGGATCTATCAGCTTAGTGGTACAGTAGATAGAGCACCAGGCTTGGAAACAAGAAGATCTGAGTTCAAATCTGGCCTCAGATACTTACTAGCTGTGTGACCCTGGGCAAGTCACTTAACCTCTATTTGCTTCAGTTCCTCATCTGTAAAACGGGGACACATTGGAGAAGGAGATGGCAAACCACTCCAGTATCTTTGCCAAAAAAATTCCATAGACAAAAGTCCATGGGGTTATATAGAGTCAAAAACAACTGAATGACTAAAAACAACAACTAATCTATCAAAAGCTTTTTCTGCATCTGTTGAGATAATAACATGATTTTTGTTCTTCTTGTTATTAATATGGTCTCTTATATGGATAGTTTTCCTAATGTTGAACCAACTCTGCATTCCTGATACAAATCCAACCCAGTTATAATATGCTTGTGTAATACACATACACACATACACTATATATATATATATATATATATATATATATATGTATATATGCATATATGTATAGGCATACATAGTATACATACATATATATTATATTTGATCATAGAAGCAATAGGGAGATTGGAATGGACTGAGTAGGGAAATATCATGGTCAGATCTAAACTTTAAAGAAATCAATTTGGCAGCTATGTAGAGGATGGATTAGACAGCGAAGGGATGTGAGGCAGAAATAATACAGTTGAACGCAATACCTGGCACATAATACATTCTTGAGAAATGTTTGTGGGTGTTTGATACTACTGATAGAATATGATAGTGCATAGGGGAATGCATTCCAATTTCCAAGTGGGGAATACACTTCCTGTTGCCCCTAGGAACAAAAGATCTTCTCTATTCTCTTCCAAAACAAACACACATATCCTACAATGAAAGTTTCTCCCTTCTTTATACCCTTGCCTGGCCTGGCTTTGGAACTCCTAGTATAGGGTTAGGGCTGATGAAGAAGGCACATGGAAGGTTATGGTGGTCTGTAGGAGACATAGGCTTTTATGATAACTACTTCCATTGGGGGAATCTAAGTAAAATGCGGTGTGGGCCCTGGTTGAGGATAGGAGGCTTCTGGGATTAGTGATTCTCTTAGGGACAGAGGCTTAAGGGACAGCTCTCTGTATATCACCCCTTCATTAGGCACCAGCAATGACTCAGGGTGATCTAGCTCCATGTAGCAATGGTATTCAGGAATCCAGAAGAGAATCAGGGATGTATGATATGAAAGGAGCATACTTAAGCTAAGTAATTCTAAGCAGCCAAGTGCCTCTATGTAGAAAAAAAAAAGAAATATTTTTATTTTTAAAAAAATCTAATCCTTATTGATTGCAAAAGCAGCATCAGTATAATTTTTATTACTCTACATGTATCTGTTAAGCATCTTTTAGAAGAGGAATTGATGGCAGCATTGGTTGTCACTGACACCTTAGAAAATACTATAATCTATTGTGAGTGTACTAAAATATTTTTAACATTAATAAACTTACTGACAATTAAGAGTTCACTTTTATCTGTCAATATGTAGAAAAGAGTACCTACAACTCTGACCTTAAATGAACAATTAATAGAACACAAATGAACCATTTTCAAATTCTAGCTGGCTGAATGATTATCTTAATTATAGCAAAAGTTCAATTTAGGCTAAAGTGACAACCAATAACTTACTTCATGTGGAACATTTTAACCAGAAAGTACACAGAGAATACATTTACAATTAGGAAAACTTTAAGAAGTGTTTATTTACCCTGTTTCTTCCATGATACATCCACCCCAGGATTCTGTGCAGTCACATTCTTGTCAGATGAAACAAAAATCACAAAAGAAAAACACAAAAGACAAGAACCAAGTCATTTCTTCATCATGAATTTTCCCCCTTTGAAAAGTATTTTGCCCCTAGTTGCCTACTAAGCAGGTTCAGAAGGCCATGCATCACAGCACAAATCACCTTGCCTCCAGATTCAATATTTCCCTCCTATGAAAGCAGAAAGGAGTTACTAAACTTCTCTGAACTTCAGTCTCCTCATCTAGAAAATGACGATAACATTATTTCCCTATAACATGCTTCCAAGTGTTACTATGTGGCACAAAGGAGCTGGTATTAATGGAAGAACGTGGTTTCAATCACTAGGTTGAATGAGCAGTGTTCTTTTTTTAAATATGTTTCATTTCAGGCAGATAAGAATCACCCTGAAAAGTTGAGATGGGAGATTTAGGTGACCAGATACAAAGTAGTTACTATACTCAAGGAGGCTTGAGGAATATGAAGTTGGGAAGTTCCCTATCACACAAAATCTGAAATATTATAAATCTGACTTGTAGACCATGGGCTCACACATTTACAGGGTGGTCACAAAAGGAAGTTGATCTTTTTCCTCCCCCCTACCATTTTCCATCTTTCATCTCACTTTTTTCTCTCTTCTGTTCTATAGGACAAGTATAGGCTGCTGCAAGGCTAGAAGTAACAGATAAAAACAATTTCCCTCTCACTAAAGATGACCAGGCCCTAGAAAACAGACTGTAAGACGATTATTTAAAGTACTTCCAAGTGTCAATATTTAAGAAAAGTCAAAATTCACAACCAAATTCAATTGCAGAGAAATCTCTATCTAAACAAATAACATAAAAGAACAAAAAATTTCAGGAAGGAGGGTTATTCATTGAATTTTCTTTAAACCAAACAAGGTGCTGTCATTGACCTTGACCCTGCATCTAATCCAGCCATAAACAATTCAGTCATTTCCTGAATCAATCTAAGCAACACTTGCTGCTCAGCTACAGGGTCTTATAAAAACCAAGTTTTGGTGGTACACCTATCACTTCATGTTCTTCTTTAAAGGTAACAATGAAAACAAAATGAATCCTAAACATTCCCTCTATGTATGTAGCTGTGCGACTATGAGCAAATCACTTAAACTTTCTGAATCTTAACCTTCTCATATATAAAATGGGGAAAACACTACCTTCGGTACCTACCAACCTCACAGGGCTGCGGTCAGAATCATCACTGCAATAATGCATTCTGTAAATCTCAAAGCACTATATAAATGTCAGCTTTAATAATTATTATTTTCTTTAGGCATTAGACATTTCACTGCAAGAGAGGTAGCCTTTCTTCTTTCTTTTGCAATTGGGGTTAAGTGACTTGCCCAGGGTCACACAGCTAGTAAGTATCAAGTGTTTGGTCTGAGGCCAGATTTGAACTCAGGTCCTCCTGACTTCAGAGCCAGTGTTCTCTCCACTGCGCCACCTAGCTGCCCCCAAGAGACATAGTCTTAATTACTTTGGAGGTGTTCATGCAAACCATGGATAAAAAAGAATTACTATAATTACTATTGTCATTACATGAAAATTTGTGCACATCTTGGGGAAAATAAACAGTAAGCAAAAGGTAAATAAATTAAAAGAATCCACAAGATTTAATGAACTCAGTATGTTGAATGCTACCACTTGCTTACAATGGCTACTGCATTGCTTCTTGAGGGGGAGGAGGAATCACAGAATCTTAGAGTGGGAAAGGACCTCAGAGGTCACCTAGCCCAATCTCTACCTTAACAAGAATCCCTTCCACAATGCTGCCGATAAGCAGTCATCTTACAGTTTTCTAAAGACCTCCAGTCTCACAAGTCAGCCCAATCGATTCTTGCACAGCTCAAATTTTAATGACTTTTCTTATATTGAGCCCAAATCTGTCTCTCTGAAACTTTCACCAGTCACTCCAAGTCAGGCCCTCTGGGATGGCCCACACAAAGTCCAGCTCTTCTTCCACATGATAGCCCTTTAAACATCTGAAGGCCCATTGAACTGAATAGTCACTGCAAATGTAGTTTATTTCCATAGATCATGGAAAGTAGTATGTTTCCGACTATTTTTATATGGTGCCAATGTGAGTGTAAAATTGAAGAAAATGTTAAAGTCAGCCTTACAGGGCATTAAAGAGATGACCAATACATTGCAAACATGGAGTAAAAGGACACGTCATTCCTGCATGTAGACATATATTTCTGTACTATATTTAGAAAGGGAAAACTACAAAAAACAAATGTGTTGACAGCTGAAACTGGAAACTGCCCATTTTATAAAAGCCTGTATTATAATATTTCACTTATATATCTATACACAATAGGAAGTAAAAGAATAATTTCCTGCCACACATTTGGTTGCAGAGAAACACACAGGGCACAAAAGTAAGAAAGATGGTCAATGCACGTACTTGGCTTTCTGCTAGAAGGTTCCCACTGGATTCCAAGGTTTTGTGCCAGACTCTGAGATAATCCTTGTGCCACTGCCATTGGAAGACCATACTGTTTTCAGAGTTGAAAGTGTGTGGGAAACATTTGAGAGAGTGCACAAAGCTAGTTATTATTACTTCATAGTTACCAAATCATCACCTCAACGTCCTATGCTGTAGGTCACACCTTACATTATCGATGAACTTTACACACACTTAAATTTTTACCCTTGAATCATGGCCCTAGAAGCAGATTGCTTCTGTAATTCAGTGGTCATCTTTTTTCCATCTTCCTCCATGGAACTGTCAAGCACAGATACTTCAAGGCTATCCCATTCACATACTGAATCCATATCAACCCAAACTACAACTAAATTAGTTATCAGATGATAAGCATGCTGAGAGGGGCTCCCAATCAATAGGAAAGTTCACAGGATAATTTTAATTAATCCCACACCAACCCATCACGCTTTTGGTATTGTTAAAGGGTAAGATTTTGACTTTTTGCAGGGGTGTGCTGAAGCCAGATTGAACCAGCTCAAGAGAGCTGGTTGTTTAATTTTCAGTGTGAGCATTTTACACCCTGGGTATCAGCAAACACTATAAATCAGGATTTGATTTGTTTTGTTGACTGTCTAGACTTAAGAAAGTAAAGGAGAAATTGTTTTAAAATGCAGATTAAACTTAAAAGTGTGTTGCGCATATAATTTTTGAGAGCCAATTGTTAAACATTTACCAGCACACCCCCTGATTATGATCCACTGTTTCCAGAAATTTTTACTGTACAGATAGTACAATTACTAGAAATTAAAGCATTGAGACATGTAGGAAAAAGGAAGGGATATTTGATTTGATCAGAGTGAGAGAGAAAAATAGGTATGGAAACAAATGATAAATAGATGTTGTATTTAAAGGCAGAAAGAAAAGCCACATCTATAGTATAAATTAAATCAAAATACAATGGATCATTCGCAGACTACTACAATTTTCAGAAAAGGCACATGAGGAGGATTGGTATACACACATGTAAAATAATACTTTATCTTTGGAAATCCAAAAGAATTCTGTCAAGCCCCACATGGAAATAAATAAACCTTTGTTTTGTGAAACTAAGGACCACACTGGGAGTGCTGAGGCTAATACAAACCATGGTTCTACTTTTTTTGATGTTGCCACTTTCCTATACAACATGGTAGCATGTAGTAACAGGAGTGCAAAGTAGTACGTGGCAGAGGAAGGTAGGAATTTGGGTACTAAAGCTGAGGTAGAATCAGGTCTGCAGATAAAGTCACACTTTAAAAAAGCTAACCAAACATTACCTCATTCACTCCAACTCCCCTTGTCTTGGAACAAACACCTCCGAAGTAACTCAGACTACTTCTCTTAAAGTGAAATATCACACGCCTTAAGAAAAGAAAGAAAATACTGTCAGGAAAAATGAAATCAATAACCAGATAACCACTCCTAAAACATAGGGGCAAAGCTATTCCTTTTCCACATTTGACACATACACACACAGAAAAGTGTATGGACTTAAAAAATGTAATCCAATACATAACTACATATCTAGCTGATTTAGTAGAAAGCACACTAGCCTTGGACTCAAAAGACAAGAGTTCAAATCCTTTGCTGAATGGCCTTAAATAAATCATTGGACTTCTCAGATTCTCAGCTTCCTCATTTGTAAAACAGGAATAATACTCACTGTACTTATTTCACAGAATAATTGGGATAACCAGGTGTTTTAATGTGTGCAAAATGCCTTATTGCTATAAAGTCTCAAACAAATGTTAATTTATAATGATGCTCATTATAAAACGTTTTAATGAAAAATAAGAAAGAGTTATCCAAAACAACTACCATGACATAACCATGAGTAATGGCACATCACATAAATGCACCTTCACTGTGAACCTGAGCACATACATGCCATCTTCATCCAATCTGTTACCAGGTTTTTGTCAATTCTGCTTTTACAACATCTCTCATGTGACATCCCATCTCTCATCTTCAGGCCTTTTCTCTGGCTGTCCTTCATGCCAAGAACACTCTCTTTCCTCACATGACTTCCCTGGCTTCTTTCAAACCCCAACTAAAATCCCCCCTGCTACAGGAAGCCTTTCCCAGTCCCTCTTAATGCTAGTACCTTCCCTCCCTTAATTGTTTCCTATTTATCCAGTAGCTAGCTTCTTTTTACTTATTCATTTGTTTGTTGTCTCCCCTGTGAGACTGTGAGTTCACTGATGGCAAGAGCCGCCCTTTGTCTTTCTTTGTATCCCCAACACTTAGCACAGTGCCTAGCACATAGTCGTGCTTAATAAATGCTTATTGACTGAATGACTCTCACATCTGACCCCTTCTCCCTCCTCACATGGCCACTACCTTACTTCAGATCCACACTACTTCTCACATATGATATTGCAAGAGCTGCCTAGCAGGTGTACCTGCATCAGGTCTCTCACCCCTCCAATTCATCCTCCATTTAGTCGACAAATTGATATTCCTAAGGCACAGATCTGTCCACATCACACCCCTGCTTAAGACGCTTCAGTGGCTCCCTATTGCCAATATGACAAAATACGAAACCCTCTGATTGGCATTTATACTCCTTCATAGTCTGGCTTTAGCCTACATTTCCAGCCTTACTGCATGTTACTTTTCTTCCTGCTTTGCAGTCCAGCCAAACTGGCCCTTTGTTGGTTTTCTCCAATTTGTTCTGTATATGGCTTGTTTGTACACTTATTTTTGCTTATTGTTTCCTCCATGAGAGAGAGGGAAGGGGGGAGGGGGGAAGGGAAGGGAAGGGAAGGAAGGAAGGAAGGAAGGAAGGAAGGAAGGAAGGAAGGAAGGAAGGAAGGAAGGAAGGAAGGAAGGAAGGAAAGAGGGTAGGAAGGAAGTAGACAGGGAAAAGGGAGAGAGAGGGAAGGTTAGAAGGAGAGAGAGGCAAGAAGAGAGGGAAGGAGAGGAAGAGCGAGGAAAGGATATAAGAAAAGAGGGAAGGAGGAAGGACAAGAAAGAAGGAGGGAAGTAAGAAGAGAAGGAAGGAGGAAGGATAAGAGAGAGGGAGGGAGGGAAGGAAGGAGAAAGAAAGAGAAGGAGAGAGGAAGAAATTGAGGAAGAAAAAGAAGGGAGGAGGAAAAGAAAGTAGGAGGGAGGAAGGGAGGTGGGAGGGGAAGAGGGAAGAAAGGAGAGAAGAAGAGAGGAAGGAAGAAGAGAGGGAGGGAGGAGAGGAAAGGAGGAAAGGAAAGAGAGAGGGAAGGAGGAAACCTTTCTCCCCCCAATAAAATATAAGCTCTTTGAAAGTAGGAACTTTTCTTTTTTTGTCTTATTGTCCCCAGTGCATGGCACATAGTAGGCACTTTAAATGAAAGATTGTTGAATGGATAAATACGCATGACAACCACACACATGGTGTACAAAAGGTCCTAAGCATCAGGACAGGTAAGGAGGCTATGTGCAGTCTAAAAGGGACGTGTTCTGCTGAGCCTTTGGAGTGCTGGGTTCTGCTCTTCATTAATTATATGATCATTTGGGGGAAAAAACTCATAACATCTCTAAAGTTTGGTTTCCTCCTCTATAAAATCAAAATAAGATATTTTACTTTGAAATGTTCATGGCCAGTCTTGGCTCTGAGAAGAGCTGGGAGAGAGCAGAGGTCACGGAGTGCTGAACATAATGTCAGCCTCGTTTGATGCTCTATCAGTTTGGCTGAATTGTTTTCCCCTTCTTTTTTCTTCTTTGTTATAAAGGATAGCTATCTGAGGGGGAGCAGGATATATTAAGAAATATATGTGGTTCACTTACCCCTTAAAGGATTAAGACACGGTGATATATATGAAAGCATTTTGAGGAGTATATCAAGTGCTCCAAAATGTAATACTATTGCTTTGATATAGTAACTGATTAAAGTAAATAGTCTGTTGGCTAAGCACATTAATCTAGTGGGAAAAAAGATCCATTTTACATGAAAAGTGTTGCCAAAAATACATTTCTCTACTTCCATAAGACACCCAGTCAGTGCCTGGAAGGAGCTGCTGAAATAACTGGCTTCACTTGGAAACCCCTCCATTTCCATATTTGTTCACCAGTGGCCTTATTCATTTATTTTTCTGTATAAATCTCCATATTTTTAAAACAGAAAAATGATATCAATTATTTTTATCCTTTCATAATGTATGTAGATATTCTGTGTTGAAATCTACATAGGTTAGTATGTAAATTCAGCACCAGTTACTGGGATTACAATTATAGCAATGGTGATGATGATGATGATGGTCAGTTCTTGTTGCAGCTGCCACACTAAAGTATGCAGGTTAGGTAAATGGCTGTGACTGGAAAGAAAAGTTACTTTACTAGAGGCCACTGTTTCTAGGTGCCTCCCCCTTCCAATCTGGCCTAAGCCTAGGTCTGAATATATAACATCATTCCTGTGCTTAAGAATCATCTGTGGAGGGGCAGCTAGGGAGAGCAGTGGATAGATCACTGACCTGAGTTCAAATCCAGCCTCAGATCAGACACTTGACACTTACTAGCTGTGTGATCCTGGGCAAGTCACTTAATCCCAACTGTCTCACAAAAAAAAAAAATCCTCCATGGCACCAGACCACTTTTACGACAAGATATAAGCCCTTCAGCTTAACATCAAAGCTCTTCACAGTCTGAGCCCAAGATGACTTTCCAGACTCTCTTCACATCACTTCCTCTCACATCTTCAATGCTCCAGCCAAAAGGGACTTGGGTCTGGGTCTGCTAGCTGTTCCCTGTACTCTGCATTGCATCACCCACCTCCAAATATACATGCATGTGTATGTATGTATGTATACACATATATGTATATGCACACATACGTGTGTATGTATATATGTGGGCATGGATATATGTGTATGTATGTATTTTGTAGGTGTGTGTATATATATATATATATATATACATACACACATACACACACACACAGCGTATATGCTATAAAGGAGATCTAGAGAGAGAGAGAAAGCATATATAGCTGTAAAGGGGGGAGAGAGAGAGAGGTTAGAGAGGATAGAGAGTGTGCATATATACATACTGTAAAGGACATATATAAAGGTTATATATTTTATATTATATGTATGTGTTATACATAATTTGTAATAATTATATATAATTGTCATATAATAATATATAATATATCTTCTTTACAGCATATACATGCTGTGTATGTGTGTGTGTGTGTGTGTATAGTGTGTGTATATGTGTGTGTGTAAAGGACAACCTCCCTTACCCACGTTGTCTCTCATACCAAAATGTATTTCCTGTTTACTTCTGCCTCTTAGAACCCTTTGGTTCCCTGACAGCTCAGTTCAGGTGCCAATGCCTTTCCTTTTCTCTTTATTTCTTGCTTTCTTCTTCAAATTATTGGACGCTTATCTTTGTCAATGCTGGATCCCACCACTACAATGGTAAGCCTCTGGAGGGCAAGGATAGTATTTTGCTTTGTATTTGTACCACCAGCTCCTGGTATGGTGCATAGCACATAGCAGTTATTTAACACAAGCTTGTTGAATTAAGGAGGAAGAAAAAGAAGGAATAAGGAAAATAGGGGTATTATTGGTATCCATTAATTCCTATCTTGGTGGCTGCTTATTTCACTTAATTCTAAGCAATGAAGCTAAACTGGTCCATCTTGTTTTGATTTAAACTCAGTTCTTATATTGGATCTAAATTCACAAATAGTAATTATTATTCAGGAATTGTGAAGTTTTTATTCATAAGTAACAATATAAATCCTATTTTCATGCCTCACTATAGCATGGAGATGCCCTTGGTTTCCTGAAAACTATGCCAACTGAGGAAAAGCTCTGGCCATTTTCACCAGGCTGGAAAGGTTCCAAGTATGGGCCTAGCAATAGACAATGTCTGCTGTTTGAGACTCATTACCAAAAGCTTGGCCAATGAATGACTGATCCAGGGCCACACCCACAAAACAGATAATTATCATGTTCCCTTGATAACAATAATAATGGCAGAAGTATCACAGCACTCATTCATTTTTCTTTTGGTAGTTTTTTCTATTGAATTTTAACCTATATAAGTAGATGGGTTAGTTGGAATTTGTTTTCTAGTCAATTTTCCACTTGACCTCATGCCTAAGTGTTTTGAAGCAGAATTTTTAAATGAAAGGAAATTGTCAATTAAATAGTTTAAGTTCCTACAGAAAATTATACTGAGAAAATTTGTTTACCTTCCTTTCTTCCCACTCTCAACAAACTTAATTTTGATCTTAAACTGAATTGTCTCAGCTCCTTTAAACTGAGAGAAATTTCCACTCTACATAATTTTAGTTATTTAAAAATAAAATCATTTTAGTGGAGTGGCATTACTCATAGTTAGCTGGCAAATGAGTTGTGAGTCATTCTGGATATTTCTAA